GAAAAGATCCCTTTTTTGGAAACCTGAAATGTTTAGCAACCCAGATGTGAGATCGAAGCCCCATATAGTAATAACGCCAACTTCTTGTCATCTGCTGGCTGCAGCTACAAAATCTCTAACCAGATTAAGCTGAATTTCGAGTTAAAAGCTTCATGAGTACAAAATCCATGCAGTGGTCCTGATGTGCCACTACTACATGTATGCTATTGTGTCAATTTTCCAAATCCTTTTAACATACTGTATTAGACCAATACGAATGTTTGATTATTTTCTTTTATGTTATTATCATGATTGGTAGGGCTATTAAATGATGTGACTTCCTTATATAGTCAATTAAAGATTACATTACTTATCAATTTACTTTTGAAAACTTCATTATCAGGGAAGCCCTTGGATCCGAGTAGGTTTTAGGATACTATCAATTAGCCTGTAGAATTGATCCATTGTTGTTTTGCTTGTGCTTGGGCAAAAAATCTGAGGCTTTCTTGTGAATTTATCATACATATGACTGTGTTTTTCTAGAATGATTAACTTCTTATTAATATACCATATTTGAGTGCTCATATGATGTGTTTTAAAATGATTTGTAACATGACATTTCTAGGCTCAATTTTGAAATCGTTGACAGGAAAAGAACCTGGTTGTACTTATCAAAGGTGCCGAAATTGCTTGCAAAGGTCTTTGTAGAGCTTGAAAAAAATCTCAAAAGATCAAAGAATGTTATCCACTCGCTTCCATCTGCATCTGATTCGCATCCAACTTGCTATTTTGATTTAGCTTAGTAGGTCTTGTTGCATCATTGTCATTGTCTGAAGTCCTCCAGAGCTTCGACGAATGCTTTGTTTTTCTAAAAAATTATATTTTAGGAATAGTTATGGTGGGGGTATATAGTATAAGGTAATGAAATGTTAACTCTTTTAATATGTCGAAAATGGAAAGAATGGCATTTATGAAATTTATGGGGTGTCATAAATAAAAGTAATTTTAAATTTTTGAAATGATGTGTCTAAGAAATGAAGATTATTTAGTCAATTAATAGGATGTCAATTGCTCCACTCTTGTAGAATAATTTCAATATTACCATTGTAATGCCTAATATCAAAACAGAAGTGTTGTAGGTCTTATTCTAACTTGATGCAAATTACGTTCAGCCCACGTGTTGTATCGGGCTCACAATGCTTTACCCTTTTATTTCAGTTTCATAGAGAATTAGGGTGAGTTTGGAGTTGTAATTTCTCTAATAAGCACTTATTTAATAAGCTATGATTTCAAATGTCTTTGATATCTACATTTTAAAATTGATTATAAGAGAAGTTGATTATTGAATATTATATTATATTTCATGAAATGATTCTAGAGGTAGATTTTTGTAGCTTTTAGAATTAAAAAGTTGCTTTTGAAAAGTCTATTAAAAAAAAAAAAAAAAGTTAAATAATTTATTAATTTATTCATAAATTTAAATTAGATTGACAGTCAATGGTGGTCAACGTCAATCAACAATACCTATTTTAATAATATATCTTAATAATAATAAAACATATTTTGCTCTTTTTACAGTCAAAGGTAATTACCCGTAAAGATAAAGGTAAAAAACATGTTGGCGCTAAAGATGATTCAATTGTTACCGTGAATGGCCATAACATCTCTAGTAAAAAGTCTCTAAAGCAACAAGGGGGTGATTCTTCTATCGGAGTTGGTCTGATTTTGAGAAAGAGTATCCCTGATGTTGTTTGTGTGGCTGGCGAGTGAGCCTCGTGCTTGGCTGTTGTTGTTGCTTGTGTTGGGTTGGCTGGGTGGTTATTTTGGGTGTCAGGCTGGAGAATGTGCAAGCACGTGGAGGGGTTGAGGGTTGCTCTGAGATGGGTAATCCGTTTTGGTAGGCTGGCTGCTTTCCTGCTGCAGTGGGTGTTGTGTCTCCTAGCTGCGGTGGGTGCTTTGATCAAGAATTCATTTTCTTCAAATAGTCATAGTACAATATAAATTCTTTTATTATTATACATCATGGGAAGTCATAGAAAAGCATTAAACTGTTCACTAGATGTACTACTTTTCTATGGGAGATAAGACATTTGGCATTACCAAATCTAAAACTTGAACATTGAAAAGGAAGAACAAGAAAAAGAATACAAAAAATAAAAGAAGAAAACACAAGAACTGAACATCTAAAGGAGCTAAAGGGCCTAACTCATCACTAAATCTAAAACTTTACTACCCTTAAACTTCCTTTCTTTCTAACCCTTTTTTTTTTCAGTTGTCTCACTACAGTCCTCTTCTTTTCTCTTCTACTACCTAAAATATTAGTCGTCTACTGCTTCTAATTCCACCATTCCATCCCTGTACAAAATCAAATGAACGAAGAAATGAAATAACAGTAAGCAAATTGCACATTAAGCCCAGAAAAATAGCTAGAAGTAGAGGAGAAATATTCCAGACTAGGAATATTGCTCTTCGCGTCAACGTATACCTCAAATGTATTCCAATGCAAGGTTGTTACTTATTAGAAATCAGCTCCTAGGAATTGTGGTGGTGCTGTCGGATTCAAATGTTGCTGCTAGGTTCGAGGATGACCTATCTTTTAGCTATTAGATAACGGTTGTTGATGAGGAGAATGGGCGAGATCGATCTCGTAGCCCTCTTTTGAGAAATTTCAGAGATGATGGCGGAGGAATGCCAAAATTAGGGTTAGGTAAGGTTGAGGAAGATGAAGAAAGGACCAGATCCTGCTATCTTGGGTCAGGTTCTAAGGAGTCGGATCCAAGTCAGGGAAAGCCTGAAATTTTTGGGCCAGGGCGTGTTATTCTTGGTGGGCTGGGCGAAAAGGTGGATCATGGGCTTGCACAGGGGCCTTTTGTTGCTAAGGAATTCTTCAAAGTCTTTGGATGTGAGTGGAGGCTCGTTGGGCTGGAAGGTGATGGGCAAGGGTCTGCTTCAAACCCACCAATGTGTTTTAAACAATGTTTTAAAACCCAACCCGGGGTGAAACCCGACAAAGTTTCCGGGTCCTGGGTTGACCGGTTTAACTGGTTTGACCGCTGGTCAAACCGGTTGACAAAAAATTTTAAAACTCAACAAATGCCCCCCTAAAAATTACCTGCAAGTCCCTACATGTTTGAACTTTATCAAACACACCCCAAATGAAAACCGACTGGCGACTGATCGACAGCCGCGACACCCCAGATGCAACCCCACTCGTCCCCTGAGCCCATTTCCATTAAAATCTACCCAAGATTTGGCCGAAATAGGTTAGATTTCGGCCAGATCTCACCGACGCTAGCGTGGGTATTCCAGGCCAGATCTCATCCACGCCGGCGTAGACAAACCTCCCCATCACCCAAGAATTACTCCCCTGTTCCTTCCGACTAAAACCCACCTCACCCCACCCCCGTTAGCCTCGCCAATCGCCAGAAAAATCTCATTGTTGCCGTTGCCAGGTTTGTTCGATTTTTGATCGATTTACTCACCGGAAATCAACGCCGTCACCACAATTGCATTCACCGGAACTTAGTCTTCAAAAGCCCTAACCTTCCAACCATCGATTGTTCGCCGATCATCCTCCCAAATCTTAGGGTTTTGGGGTGAATCGAAAAAGTTAAACTCAACCCGTTGAAGCTGTTGGTTCAACCGGCCGGGCTGGGCCGGGTTTTAAAACAATGGTTTTAAAGATGGCCTAGTGATTGGTTATGGGCAAAAAGGATTGTCTCTAGCACGGGGTCTTCTGGTTCACCGCCAATGCTGTTTGTCCAGCACACTCGTCTTTCTCTAGAGATTGTCAAGAATCACTCATGGGCAAATGTTTCTTTGATTATTTGATTCTAGGATGAGAGATAAAGCTGAAACTATTTATTTCTTGATGAAAAAATAAATTCTAAAATTCTAAAATACGAATTTAATAACAGAAGAAAGGATTCTTGAAAGGCTTTCAATGAAACATAAATATAGCTAAACGAGATTAAACTCTTCTACAAAAATACGCTTTCTTTTGGAGATATATAGAAAAAGCAGATTTATTTGAATATTTTCAACTTTCAAAAAACATTTCAACGGCAAAATTATCTTATTGGATCTTCTCCAACGTTATACTTCTTCAAATCTCTCCAATTCCTCTCTCTCTCTTAACCCTAACATATTGCTCAAATTTGAAATATTTTATCATGTTTACTGTTCTCCAGGAAATGCTGAGTATCCTGAGGAGCCATTCGATCTCTGTGATGCATTTAGCAATCCTCAACGTCAGGAAATCCTGCAGATTCTGCCACACCCGGTTTGGGGCGACTACGGATACCCAACGAAGAGAGGCGAGGGTTGGATCGGTGATCCCAGAACCTGGGAGTTTGATGTTGGAAGATTATCTCAATCACTTTACTTCTATCGGGATCCTGGTACAGAACCTGTAAAGAGGCACTGGCCATCAATAGACTTGGGGACTGAAATTTATGTTAGTGGTCAGCATCAAGTTGCAGAATGGACGGTCAGTGATTTTGATATTTTAATGCCGAAAGAATGAACAGTTAGAGTTTCATTGTCAAATTAGTAGGATTTGGAAGTTTTTTTTTTTTAGGTTGTTAAACATTCTATAGCCACAAAGAGGTTAATAGTAATAATATTGTTCTGATCTTCTCTAGAATTTCAGTCTTCAGACATGATGATAAAAGATGAAGAAATTGCTTAATAGTAATAACGAAGAAATTGTTTTTTGTTTTTTCTTTTTTTTTAATAGATTGGAAGTCTTAAACGATGGGTGTTTAATGGCTTGGAGCTTACATTAATATAAACATGGTTTTTCTGTTTATGAGGCAAAAGGAGGTAGATAACTTGTTATAATTGAATGAGGAAGCAAAGGTGATGTGGGATTGATACTACTTTCAAAGATACAATTTTCAAATGTAAAGAGAACTAATTTATGTTTGAATGTTATGGATCATTCTATTATTGTATTAAATTGGAGTTTTGATATGTAATTTTAGCTTTTAATATTTACATGTCCTATGACAATGTAATAGGCGTGGCAAACTTCTTAGGGGGTGCAGCTTCTGTTAAAGGAGTGAAGGGATTTGATCCTGAGGCGGCCAAAAAGAGGTTCTTTGAGATATATCTGGAGAAGGTCATTAACCTACTATTAAACCACATATTGCAATGAAAAGATGGTTACCCTTTACTCACCTCTGATTTCGTTCAAAGCTTGCAGTATGCAAAACCAAATTCAGGGATAGGGTTTCCTGGACCCCTTGAACTGATTAATCAGGTCTGTAAGCTAACTAATTTCAAATGTCATTTTCCTAATTACTTGTTGCTGCAATTAAAGATTTGCTAATGAAATGCTGCTGTAAAACAGTGCAAAAGCAAAGGCCTAAAAGTTGCTGTTGCATCTAGTGCTGATTGCATCAAGGTTGACGCAAATTTAGCTGCTGCTGGTTTACCAATATCAATGTAAGCTGATCTTGTCATGGGCTAAGTTTCTCAAGTTTATAGAACATAACCATCTAGGAATCAGATTAGTATAGACTTTCAAGTTTAGACTGTAATTTCAACCTCTATGGCCAAGGTTTTATGTTCTTACTTTACTGTTATCCTCTTGTCGTCAGGTTTGATGCTATTGTGTCAGCAGATGCTTTTGAGAATTTGAAGTCTGCTCCTAATTATATAAATATGGACTTTTATTGAATTCTGTGGAGCTTCTTTTGTATCTGCTATTATTTGTCAAGTTAATGATGCACCATGTGTCTATCTCATTGCCTTGCATGGACTCAAAACTTTGACTGTTTACTATCACATTAAAGAAAAAGGAATTTTATTGAATATTTGTTGAACAATGTTGTTGGTTGGTTGCAAAATGTGTCCAGAGCACACAAGAGATTTAAGGACAATCTGAATCTCCGTGTCTTTTATTTTTCTATCAATTTGCAACCTCAGCTAGTAACACTTGAATGTTTAAAATTTTACTACTCAGCTCCTTTTCTCTTTTAATTCGAGAAAGAAAGAAATATTATCAGTCCCATTAGCATGTGTCTTGTTCAACAGTAATCTACACAATGGCTCTGAATTTCATTTTTCAAAGTATATATCCTTAGTTCATACTAATTTCAAAATACTGAATGTTAGTACGAACAGTGTCAACCTGTCTTATTCAATTCTCTGAAGAAATCATGTATGAAATCTATAGTCTGTGCTAGAAATTCATGCATCAATATTAAATCCATCTGAAAAAACAACATGCAATCGATTGATTCAATTGTTGCCCCTCTCTTATAAATGTTATTGTGAGTCTGTTGTTCACTACAACATTGATTTCTTTCTTGGCGCCTTTAGCTTGACCAGGGAATGTTGTATACTATCATACAAATGTCTTCAATGTATGTCACGTTCAATTGTTGAAGAAATAGCATTCTCCAAAAGATATTCAAGTGCTACAAATTAACCTTTACCAACACATTTAGTGATGATACCTTAGAGGGGAAATTGCAATTGACTTTTATGTTTTGGGATCTGCCAACTTTAAAAATTTGATGTCTGTGCGAGCATTTTAATGTATTCACAGTTTATTACTTGAAAAGTTGGATGACTTGATGGAAATTGAAATAAACATTAGTGTATGTTTTGAACTATATTCTTTTGAAAGATGAGGCGGATTGCACTAACATGATGGATATAACTTTTTTAAATGGGTCACAAAATTGTTAGAATTGAGATTTAAGTGATGGGGTACTGTTTCCTTTGCCTTCTTCTTAATTTGAATATGTTTTATTCTTTTGTTATTCTTATTATTTTTATGTTTTATGTGAATGTGACTAATTTCTCTGCTCTTGCATCTGTCCTGATATCCCTAAATACATATTTGCTTGGTCAAAATGCTAGAGATAGTTGTTGATCTAGAGTACATTTTATTTCCAAGGTTAAGTATAATGCATAATTTTTCTTGAATTGTGGTTGGCCATCCTGTCTTCTCTAATTTTAGCCATGGCCATATTTGTGCAAATTTTGATATGTTTTCTAATTAAAAAAACTAGTTCTGTGAGTTATTAGTGTACAAACTATTAGCATCTACTGACGATTATAGTATATGTAAATATGAATAAGCAATTTTATGCGAATTCTAATTGTTACATAAGGGATATAAAATTGCTAACATTTTATTTTGTCATAGCATTTATATAATAAAAAGTACATGCTTGATAATGTTGACAAACTGTGATTTATGAGTGAGAGATATGACTGTCATTCTGCCAAGGTTTATAATGGAAAGAAGTGAGAAAGAAGCAGGATGATGGCATTTCAAAAGGGAGGTCTAAGCCTTAAATATGTTCAAATGTTGTGGCTATAGCTTTCATATCATTTACAAATTGTACTTACTTTTTGCTTTGTCATCTAGGTAAGCAGCTGGCAGATCCCCAATGAGGTGACAGAATTGAGAAAGAAGCAGGATGATGGCATTTCAAAAGATCATTTAATGTCAGTGCCAAGTACTAACATCACGATTGAAAAAGCATCTGCTCCAACAACTTTGGGTGCTCCTGCTGTTAACACAGGCGGATGTGATGCCACAACTCTGAGAACCTCAGGGGCAGGATCATCATCTGCCCTGGATTTGATCAAGAAGAAGCTGCAGGACTCTGGAACTCCTGTTACTTCCTCAGCTGCTCCAGTTGCATCAGGAACAGTGGCCTCATAATTAAATGGCTCTAAAGCTGTTGAGGTTGCAGTGAAGGGCTTGCCAAATGAGAACAGCAAAGAAAAGTTAAAAGATGCTAATGGCGACAATAAACATGTCTGACTCTTCTTCAGAGTCAGAGGATGAAGACAATGGACCATCGAAGGAGGAGTGCATTACTAAATTTAAGGTATCTTTATTGCTCTTATTTTGTTAAAATTTCCTTCAGTATAACAATTTGAGTTGGTGTTTTTTACTGTTCTTCCTTTTGGAATTCCAGTGTTTGTCCTATAGATTCATATATAAATAAAATTTATAATTTTTCCTGTGTTATTTCTTGTATTAAATATGTATATTTTATGAATGATATTGTTTGCTACTGCTGTTAATATTCTTTTTCGATGCAACTTCAAATGTAGCTTGTGAGAAATGCTAGTTTCATTGACTAATTGTTTAACATGGCAATGAAAATTTTACAGGAAATGCTTAAGGAAAGAGGAGTGGCACCATTCTCAAAATGGGAGAAGGAACTTCCAAAGATAGTATTTGTTCCCCGTTTTAAGGTTTGCCGGGTCTAAAGATTTAGAATATTTTGTTTGAGAATTGGAGGCCTTCTTACCACAGGGTGATCTCACACCTTAGTAGATATCTAGTCCACTTTCTACTTCTCTCTTTTGATTAATATAACTTTTTGTTTTATATCAAAAAAGTAATATTGCATCTTTGGTTAGTAGCTTTGGATGTGATATTAAGAATTTGCCTATAAAATATTTTTGTCTTCCTTTAAGAGGTAATCCCAGAATTTTCGAGTTTTAGGTTCAGTAGTGGATAGTAGCGCTGTATACGAGCTGAGCCGAGCTGGACACCTCGGTGTTCGAGCTTGGCAAGCTCTAAAAACCCAGGCTCGAACATGCGGCTTTAGGTTATTGCTTAACGAACAGACCGCTTCTAGGAAACTTAACCCTGAAAGAGAATTCAAAACCCAACTTATTGTTTCGTTTAGTTCTTCATGTTTTAATGTTATGCAACCCAACCTACATGGCTGTTGATTTATTTGGAGAATGTAAGTTGCTCGTGGGTTGGTTGTTCATGCTTTAATTTTACCGTGATAAGTTTGGCTTATTAGGCTAATGTAAGTTGCTCACTTGTGATGAGTTGACTGTGTTTATATCTGAGGTTTGTTTTGTCTCACCATCAATACTTGTGAAATAATTTTGCTTAAGTTGTTATTTGTTTGTTTTTATAGTTCTCAAGTTGGTATTTATTGTTCTTGTTGTATCATATGTTAATTTTTGACAACCATGGTATTAATGTTTTCCATAGCATTTTCTACTTGTATCCTTTGTCTATACCCGTGCCTCATCTTTTGGGTATATTTTTTAGTGGTTTAGGCTTATGATCTTTTAGTCTATCCTGTTAAATATGACTAGCCTCGGGATGGTGTGTTTATTATGCACTGAACTTACAAGTTCAATTTATACTGCAACTCCTTTTTTTCTTTCTCTGTGTTTGTGTTTATTTCAAATTTTTTTTTTTTCATGCATACTGCAGTCTATGTATATTGTGCTAGATGGGAATATTTATCATTCATTCTGTAATGAGTTTGCTGCTTTGTTGATTGGGAAAGGCATTTTCTGTTGTAGGCCATCCCAAGTCAATCGGCAAGGAGGGCCTTGTTTGAACACTATGTTAAGACACGCGCTGAGGAGGAATGTAAGGAAAAACGAGCAGCTCAGAAGGCTGCAATAGAGGGATTCAAGCAGTTACTTGAAGAAGCATTAGAGGTTTCAGAGCTTATATTGAATTCAAGTGTTTTCTTATTTTGCTAATGTTTACTTTAATAACAATATTACTAAGTTGTATAAATATAAGACTGCGGGCCGGAGGTGGTTTATTGAGCATATTTTCATTTTCAGGAATTTGACCACAACATTGATTATCAGACATTTAGAAAGAAATGGGGCAGTGATCCACAGTTTAAGGCGTTAGACCGCAAGGATCAAGAACTTTTGTTGAATGAAAGGTATCATTTAATGAGGAGAATATAACTTGAGCCCTTTTTCAACATCATATGTTTCATCCTTGTGCAGTAACTCAGCATCTATATTTTTGGTGTCTATTTAATTGGTCAGTTTAGCCATGTTTTTCCAACCAATTCAAGTTGATTTTATTCTTTGGAATTGATAATCCATGTTTTCATTCATCCTTGGAAGAAAAAGTGAACTTAGCATTTTAGCATAGTACATATTCTATGTGAACTTGTTTTCGCGAACAGAAACACATTAGATTTGGGGAACTATAAGAGAATTGTTTTTTCATTTCCATGCGAATGGGAACTTAAATTTCTAGTGTGGACCATACCAAAAGCTACCCTCTTAAATTTATTAATCAAATATGCTTGCTTAGACGGACCTATTGAGTATTTTGTAACTTTCGTGGAGTCTTTTTGTCTCTTTTATGTTTCTATCCTTTGGAATGAAAAAAAAATAATAATAATAATGGGGAAGTCTAATTGTTTCAGTAGGTTGCATCACTTTTAGTATGGCTTAGCTCATGTCTGTTTTAGCTTGGGAAGATCGCTAGTTAATGCCATGCAGAACCCTCGTAGAGTTTTGGTCAGGTTACATGTATGAGGTTTAATTTCAGCTCTTTCTTTGAACTGTTCATTGCAAAGTTGTCTTTTCACATAACTAATTTAAAATGATATTTATTCTTTATCTTTCTCATCTTTTTTCCTTAAGTATTTTTTATTAAGTTGAGTTAAATATCTGGTTTGTGAAACCATCATTAATTAGGTGAGCCCATCATTAAACTGGACTAAGGCTAGTTATTATTAATTTGGACCAAAAGATTGTCTGCATGTCTGATATTTTCTGTTTGGCCTTTAAATGGCTTCCAGTTTCTAATCTCATCTTTGCTGACCAGTATTAAGACTTGTATGAGTGATAAGTATTCAAAGGTTGACTCTATTGACTGCAGTGTACATACTAGAAGACTGCTATACTGTTGTGGAGGAGTTTAGTTCATCTCAGACTAATGTTGTGCACAACTACATCTCATGCACATGCATTCAACAGCTCTAGACATGTTTATATGTTTACGATATGATCATTTTTTCAAACACTTGGCTGACTATGGTTGTTTAGTGAACTTTTTAGACTATGATTAGGTTCTTTTATGCTTTGTTCGTTGAGTTGCTAAATCTCGTATAATCTCCCTTTGTTATTATTAGAATTTATATTGAACTTGTTTGTAGACACAAAAATTGATTTCTATTGAGCATCTTTCAAAGCAATATGTGTCAGCAAGGAGAAAGCCAGTGACGAGATTCTCTGATTCACTTTTAGTTTGATTTGTTTTGGATTAGCGTGGTAAATGCTTTTTGGTTATTAATGTGCCAATTTTATCATACTAGTTACACAAGGGTTTTACTTCTCTTCCAGGGTCCTTCCATTGAAGAGGGTTGTTGAAGAAAAAGCTCAAGCAATACGTGCTGCTGCTGCCTCTAGTTTCAAGTCTATGCTTAAAGAAAAAGGGGATGTAACTGTCAGTTCCCACTGATCCAAGGTTGGTTGATGTATGAGCATTAGGATAAAAAATACGAGAGACAAGGAAATAGTGAGAATAGGAGGAAATAAAGGGCAATAAATTAGAAGAACATGAAAGATGACATAACTAGAAGAATTAGGAAGAGAAACAAATAGAATCAGGGAAGAAACTAATATTTCAACAAGTCTTTTATTAACTGAAAACTAAGACCCTGTTTATATAGTACCAGTTCTAAATAGAAATTTTTTTGGAAATATCCTACCTAAAATCTTTCTTAGACAAGAAACAATCATCTGACTAAGATATATTCCTTGAATAAATTAGTTCCTAAAATTTTAAGATCCTAAGTTTTCCATCATTGGAGCTATTGCATGTGAAGGTGTTTTATTTATTTATGTTTAAATTATTACTTCTTTTAGTGTGTCACTGGGAATGTTCTTAAACATATGGCATCAAGACTGTTTTAGTGATCAACTCCGACAGTTTTTATAATGGATACAACTAGGTTTTATTCCTTAGAAGATAGCCTACCTAATTAAGTCTCTAACAGTAGAGCGGATGGTCTAAGACTCAATTCCTCTTGCACCAACCTTTGGGAAAGTTTGTTATTTAATGTGATTAATTGAGGTAGAAGCTAGCATTGGATGAAGGAATGGGTCTTTAAGAGTTAATATTTTAGCTCTAAGTGGTGGAAATTGAGTTGTACAAGAAAACCTAGATTTATGTGTATACTTCAGCTTGGCAAATATGATCACTGTATCTTTTGGCATATGTTACTTGGTTATGAGGTGGTGGATAGAGGGTGGTGCTTTTTAGGATCCCACATTGAGAGGGAAAGAGTGGGCATTTGGGTTATAAAGGGCTTGGGCACCCTCCTTTGACAAGCTAATTTTCCAAGGAGAGTTTTATCCAAGCCCATAAAAGACCCATGGCCCAACCCAATTGTTGAGTTATTAAAGTGGGTTCCTATCAGGTTATATTTTTAACAAGATGGTTGTTCAAGAAATTGCAATTAGAACTTCTTTTTGATGATATTCTCTTACCAACTATTTCAAAGGGGACAGTAATAATTTTTATATTCTGGCACAATGAGATCTAATAAGGATGTGTCATTGCAGATAATGGGAGTTTTCCCTCAGAATATTCATCTGCCATGCCCAAAGAAAGAACAGATAATGGGCCTGTTCAGGTTGTAGGCACTACCAGTGACAAAGATCTCTCAGCATGGGGGTAAGACAGGATCTATATCTTCAAAGTTTGAGTGAATCTATGTTAAATGTTTCACACTATTCATTATTTTGTGTCATAATTAGTTTTGTAGTTTTCCCCTCTTATCCATTTCTTTAGTTTTCCACAACAACATTCAAATTTTAAGGAGCTTTTGATGCAATGCTCCATCATGAAAGTTGGTTTCCGTTGTTACTGCTTTTATTATGTCTTCTAGAGAACTATGTTTAGGAATGTTAGCTTGCATCATTTAAATTGTTTAGCTAGATACTCGGTATGCATAAAATCCCAATGATGAGCAGTTCAATAGCTCAACATAAGGATATTTGTTTCCAAGTTTCATTTTCTAACAATGCAAATAGAGCCTTTTGATAACATATTTCAGCTTGAGGTCGTAGAATTAATTTATGGACAGGTTACAGATTTCTCTGCGAGAAGTACTGAGATATGGAAGTTTGGGAGTTGCTATATCTTGTCTCATATGAAAAAAAATACACAAAGTAGTTGAATTGTTCAAGGAAATGGACAATTGTGTGGCACCCTGCTCTGTCCTTGTGCAAGACGAGTTTAGAGTTGCTCTAGCTAAAACTTTATTATGAACTGAAATTCTGAGGATTATCTTCCACCTTAGACTTTTGATATAATTATTTTTGTCAAGTTCTAATAACTTAAACTTGCTAGCAAATGGTACTTTTTAAGAAAGAAAATTGAAAAAGTTTTTCTTTTTCCCTAAGGATCTTGATGATTTAAACTTCCTATGACTTTGGAGAAAGATAATGATCCTCGCTTACTCACATCTCCTTTGAAGTTTCCCAGTAAGCTGGCGATTGATATCCTTAACAACCGGCTCTTCACTTCGGACAGTAACCATAACAGAATAATAGGTGTTCTTTCTTTCTCTCTCTAAACAAATATACACTTGCAGACTTGTATTTTATATGTATATTTCTCTTGATAGTCCTCAGAATTTGGTAGTTAGAAGCATCTGAAATCCTAAGAATTTAAGAATTCTTAAATGTGCTCATAACGCAACAATATCCAGCTTCAAATTGTTCTTGCATATTTAAAGCTTGATGATGGTACTTAGATTACATGTTTGTAAGTACTACTTAATACTCATGATAATCCACCATGTAATGAATATCATATATTCAGTATATATGAATCCAGTATTTCCTTATCCAGTAATGAATAGCATGGTTAAATACTTGGATTGTTATTTAACCGTCTTGTCACATCTGGACTTCATGTGGTAACTGATTTAGATGGGAATTTTATGGTCCATGATGGAACCACCTGTTCAAGCAACTCAATCCCAACACACACGCACACGAGCAGAATCGAAATAACACTTAATTGGATTAAACTGAAGGTTAATATTGAAGCTGAATGAAATAACAGTAGCAAGAAAAGTGAACCCAGAACAATTCCCAACAATTCGAGGAGTTGGAGACCTCCCACAACACTTATCTGAATCAACTTGATACCTCTTTTACCACACCCTAGCTATTTATACCCAATTACTTCCTATACTACCCTTACTCTAACAACTTTATTCTATTCAGCCACATGCATGCAGAATCCCGTAACAAACTGTAACAACCCTCATACACACTCATTTCCCCTTCGTGTAACAACCTTCACTCATGCTCATTTCCCCTTAGTGCTCCCTTTTGATGCCCCCTTGACTTATAGACTATATTGACAGGAGGTCTATCAGTCCAAATCGGTAGCTCAAGAGAGGAAGGTCTACGTGATGGATCCTTCGAGGAGGCCACAGCCACCTTTAATCGTCCTCAAGTAAGGACTAAGTTAATATCTCCAGTTATAATCAATATAAATGAACAGAAGCATGCATTTCAAGCTTTGTTATCTCATGCTTCAATTTTTATGTGGATGAATTAGTACTGAGTAGTAACATTGTGGCCACATGTTTCTCTAGGGCTTGGCTTACAATGCGAAGAAAAACATCCTTTATGTTGCAGATACTGAAAACCATGCTTTAAGGTATGTCGCAAGTTCAAAATTATCCTTAAATTGTTTCGAAGCCTTTTTAGGCTCTATTTCCGATTTTGCTGTAAGGTGACCTTATTTTTTTAATGGCTTTGTGTTAAATTTAGCATAGTTCCCCAAGACAGATTCATGGTTTTCATAGAAACCTATGTTCAAACGTTTTGATTTTAATCCTTAAGATAAGGTCACAAAGGAATTACATTACTAGTATCATCTTCATAATCTTTCATGAAATGTTTCAATAGTTTCAATGCCTATATTGTAGGGAGATTGATTTTGTTAATGAAAAGGTGCAAACTCTTGCTGGAAATGGAACCAAAGGCTCTTACTACCAAGTAGACCTGGCAAAATGGGTCTAGACCCGTGGGTCGGCCCGTACCCAGGTAAAAAATATAGGGTACGGGTCTACAAAATTGAACCTGTTTTTTTGGACCTGTACACGGCCCGACCCGTATAACTGACGGGTTATAAGGGTGAACCTGCGGGTACCCGTTTTTGCAAATTGTAAAAAGTGACCTGCCCTAACTCAGCAACTCAACTCTATGCCGCGCGCCTCTCATCTCCTCTCAATCTTCAACATAAAATTCTCTCCAGCCTCTCAATCTCTGATCAGTCAACTGAGTACCTCCCTTTTTGCCATCTTCTTCGTACCTCAACTCCCTTTCAATTAATCGTCACTCGTCTGTCATCACTCATTAGTACGGTAGTCACCTGATACATTCATCCAATCCGTCATTCCCATTCCCAGTACCACAGTTTCCGGTCGCCCTCACTCATCCTCGTCGGCTGGTCATCTCCTCTCTCTCAACTCCCTCTTCGATTAATCGTCAGTCCTCAGTACGTTTCTACACATTTCCTGTATTTTGCTTTGGTTTTTCCGTTTTTTCTTTCAAATTTTGTGTGTTTGTTTTTGTTTTTTTGACACATTTTGTGTTTTCTTTTTTGTTTGAACGATTAATGTAGGTTACTGCATATTTTTGCTCTTGTTTGATTGGGATATGATATGAGTCATATGACAATAGATTTACAGTAACTACATGAAATTGGGTTTCTTTATATGCACAAATTGTAAAAAGAGAATGTGTTTTTAGGGTTTCTCTTCCCATGTCTTGCATTTGCATTTGTTTTTCTTCAGATTTTGTTTGGGACCAATTGTCTCCATGTATATCAATCTAAAGTTAAGCCTGGTGTTATGATTTCAAAGAACATGCCAACCTTCAAAACTGGCTTTTGGTGAAGAGGCAAAAAGATTTTGCTTGTAAAGTTTGGCAAAATCTATATTGGATTCTAACGTTTTCACCCTTTCAGTTTTAATGCAAAGACTCTTATGTCCTTTCAAGATGGTTTTAAGATTAATACATCATGGACTTAAGTTGAAGTTTGTAGCCTCAAAAATATTTCCTCTGTGTATTAATGAAGCACCTTTATCTAATTAACTTGTGTGAACAAGATCAAAATTCACATGGCCAAATGGGTTAAACTGGTTCAGGCTTTTAGGTGAAACATGAGTAAGAGATTAGATTATTCTGTGAAAGAACAAGGGTGGATAACTGGATATGTCATTTGAGAAATGGTGGGACATTCAAACTTATTCAATGAAAGATCAAAACATGAAGACTGATCAATTCAGAGAGGTTTTTGGTAGAGCAATAAGTAGTAATTGAGAAGAAATGGACAGTGACTAGGAAGCATCCTTTTGGATTTTTTCTCTTCTAACTTAGCCCTCTTAGCAAAGATTCTCAACTCTATTGTATTCAAAGAAAGTAGAAATGGGTCCCTGGTCAAACGGTTGGTTTGGTTTTTCTTTGAGTGGCTTTGTGTTTGTGTCCGTTAATCATATTATAATGGTGAGTAGAATAGAGTGATGATGACATTGCTAATGAGGTTAATTAATTTAAGCACATGAAAAAGAATTGGTTAGAGCTCACTTAGATCATTGGATTCTTTCGATATCGCTTTCAATGTTGTTATTTAATCTTCTGGGTACAGCTAGTAGTAGCAAGTAAGACTGCAAGAGCATGTGCAATGCAACAATTTCTGGTAGTATTCGGTCTCCACTCTCCAACTGCTTCTTCATAACGTATTTTTACCAACTTAAGTTCTTCCCACTAAGATTTTATTAGCTGGTTCTGTTTTGTGTTATGCAGATATTGCACTTTCAGTTCTCAGTAGTGGTTAGTTCACTTCGTAAAATAACTATATTAGGTGGAGAAGATGAGGGAATTGATTCGAAATTACTAGAGACATGAAAAGGGAAAAATCTCTAACCGCCCCTTGGTTCATTTATTTGGACCACCACAATGATCCTGATAATGATATATCACCGAATAAATCTTGTAAATTTTTTAGCAATCTCACTGAAATAAAATGAGTATCTGAATTTAGCAATCCATTTAAGGGAATGAATGACTGAAATTGGAAAGTGGAAAAGATTATGATAATTTGAGTCTTTATGTTGGTTAAAGTATAACATATCTTAGCTTTAATGAGTATGTTAAATTTAAAAAATTCAATCATAAACTCCATTAATTAATGAAAAAAATTAAATAATGCAATTGCCAAATCTCGACAGCAATCCAGAAGCATGTACATCAATTTCCCTTTGCTTTCTTCTTGATAGGATTAGATTATGGTCCACCTTTTGTTCAGCTTTTACAGATAATGAATATATAATGCCATTGACATTGAACTCTTTGTCATTATCAATTAATATATAGTTAATCCATTATTAATTAATATATAGTTAATCATCAATTAAAAAGCTCTTCGGCATTTCCTGAAATCATGCTCCATTATCAAAGTTCAATAAATAGAAACATATATATAGGCATGCTGATATAAATGTTAGTTTAGATTAATTTTATTCAGGTTATGGTGTCCTTGATATTTTTTTCTTTATTTTATTGTATTATCCTTTGAGTGTGTGTGAGAGACCTAATATATATATATATATTATTTTTTTTGTAGTCTCAAGCATTGACATGGCGGACTCTGAAACTATAGATACAGATATGGTTAACGTGAGAGCAAATGACGATGCTTCTAGGGTAATGCCACCTCCTTCTAATTCTAGTATTCCTACAACTAATTCTAGAAATAAACGTAAAACATCAGAATTTTGAAATTATTTTGAGATATATGTTGAGAATAACAATGAGAAGGCTAGGTGTAAGGCATGCAGTCAATCTTATGCATATGGTAGTGCCACACATAGGACTAAAAATTTGAAGCATCATATGGGAAATTGTCCAAAACGTGTCAACTATGATGTAGGACAATTATTGATTGATCATGATCATATATTGCAAAGTAGAAAGATTAGTCAAGAGACTTATCGTGAATATATGGCCTTATCAATTATTCAACATAACTATCCATATTCATATGTGGAGAATCAAGGAACTAATAGAGTCTTTTCGTATGTGTGTAAGGAGTTTATGCATTATTCTAGGAACACCGCTAAGGCGGATTGCTTAAAAATATATGAAAAGATGAAGAAAAAAACTAAGCTTGAATTAGGGAGGCTTACAAGTAGAATATGCTTAACTTCTGATGTTTGAACTTCTGGTACAACTGAGAGATATATTTTTTTGACAGCTCATTATATAGATGAGGATTGGGAGTTACAAAGTAAAATACTGAATTTTTGCCATATTCCTCCTCCACACTCAGGGGTTGTTTTGGCAGATAATATTATGAATTTCTTACAAGAGTGGGGAATTGAAAAGAAAGTTTTCTCAATTACTTTGGATAATGTAAGTAGTAATGATAGGATGGAGGATATCTTGAGGAACCAGCTTTGTGTGCAGAATGCTTTGTTATGTAGAGGTGAATTTTTCCATGTGCGATGTTCTGCATATATCTTGAATCTTATTGTTCAAAAAGGGTTAAAAGCTATTAGTGTTGCTTTGAATAAGATTCGAGATAGTGTGAAATATATTAAAGTAACTGAGGCTAGGAGAATCAAGTTTGGAGAACTTGCTGTACAAATGGGAGTGAAAAGCTCAATGGGGTTGAGATTGGATGTTTTCACTAGATGGAATTCGACATTTTTAATGCTTGAAACGGCGTTAATATTTCGTCCTGTGTTTGTGGCTTTATCAACAATAGATCTCAGTTATAAATTTTGTCAATCAAATGAAGAATGGGATAGGGGGGCGGGAATATGTAAATTCTTGGAACCATTTTATAATATTATGACTTTATTCTCGGGTTCTAAATATCCTACATCAAACTTGTACCTGAAATGTGTGTGGGAAATTCAATTGCGTTTAATTGAAGAGAGGATGAGTGATGATAAAGTTGTTAGGAGCATGGCGGAACAAATGATCCCAAAATTTACAAAATATTGTGATTCTTATAGTTTTGTGTTGACGATTGCAACTATTCTTGACCCACGTCTCAAGTTTCAGTTTGTGGAGTATGCTTTCAACAAAGTTTATGATTCAACTACTGTCACACGGAAGTTGGAGATTGTTAAGAATAACTTGCAAAAGTTTTTTCAAGCTTACGAGGCTAAATGTTCTAAAGAAGTTTCTGCCTCACCTTCAGTTGTTTCTCCTACGAGTAGTTCTACTTCTAGTAGACGTGTAGATCATTCTTCTGTAAGTCACTATACTTTTTAATTTTTATATTCTTATAATAAATAAAGTATTGTTTATTGTTTAATTTTAACTTTTGACACTTAATTGTTTAAATGATGCAGGATTTTGACAGCTATGAGAGTGTTTTCATTTCTACTAAGAAATCCAAATTAGATATTTATTTAGAAGAGATAAGGTTTGATCGTGTCAAATATCATAATTTGGATATCCTCGATCATTGGAAGAACAATCATGATCGTTATCCGGTACTTACTATGATAGCTCGTGATATCATGACAATACCAATAACATCGGTTGCCTCAGAGTCTACTTTTAGTATTGGCAGTAAAGTGCTCAACAAATATCGAAGCTCATTTCGACCAAAAAATGCAGAATCTTTGATATGCACTCGAACTTGGCTATATGGATATGAGTTTGAAGGTAACATGTTAACATAATATTTCATATATTTTATTATTTACATTTATTAATATTTGTAGTTGATTATTGTTTTGTAGATGATGAGGTGAATGATGATTCGGATGATGATCTTGATGTGTCATTAACTAATCTTGGGACTGTGGAATCAAGAGACTCTATCACTCCCACTGTGGGATGAACATTTGCTGTCCTAAGAATGTTTTTTGTTGAATATTGGATTATGTATTTGTTTATTTTAGTTGGTATTTATAAGTTATTGACTTATTTTGTTTGTTTATGTGTAATTGTGTATTAGTGATTTTGTATGTATTTATTTTGGTTAGTATTTGTAGTTTTGTATTATATGTTATTGTTTGTTTATGTGTTATTTCTTTATTTTGGTTCCTATTTGTTTATATTCTAAATTGAATTGAATTTAGAGTAGTTGATTTAGGGGGTGTAAATGTAAAAAAATAAAATTGTAGGAATTTTGGGGGTGTAACTGTCATAATTGAAAACTGTTAGGGGTGAAAATAAAAACTAAAATATGGAGAGAGAGAAAATGGGTCTACCAGTGGGTCCACCCGTACCTGTATAGGGTATGGTACGGGTCTAATATTTTAGATCCGTATATTTTAACCCGTATTTGACCCATACATGTGTAGATCCAACCCGTACCTGGGCCACCCACCCGTTTTGCCAGGTCTACAGTACCAAGGGGGAGACGAGGGAAGCTCTCAGGTAAAATTGTCGATAACGTGAATTAATGATGCATAGTCTGGTTGCGTCCTTAGTGTTCTTATAAAGAAATTTGGCCCCTTTATTTATTGAATTGACATCTTTCTTGATATTTAAAAATTTTATTTCATTTTTTTCAGCTCCTCAATTCTCCATGGGAGGTCTGTTTTGAGCCAGTAAATGAGAAGGTTTGCATTGCAATGGCTGGCCGACATCAGATCTGGGAACACAATACACATGACGGAGTTACTAAAGCTTTTCGTGGCGATGGTTATGAAAGGAACTTGAATGGATCAAGGTGATTCAAAGAATCAGTAAAGTGATCAGTCGATTCTTTTTTCTTTTACATCTTCATACTTCACATATAAAATCTTTTTGGATATTTGTGCTCTAAATTGGAACCTTTAAGTTGATAAGAAAGAAAAAAAGTTAAAGCTGATAAAGAAAAGTTTGATCAGTTTGAAGTCCGGGCTGAACTTGGATGAGCTTGAATTGAGAAAGGGCAGAACCTCAGTTCGGATGGTGACTGCCCTGTTAAATGTTTATAGCTCCTTAAAGGTCCATATAGTTATGTCTATCCATTTGTTTGCACTCATCAAATACATCTGTGTTATACTAGAGCATTATTTGTCTTAATTTCTATTTTTTATTCATTTATATTTATGTTTTCCACTGGTATGATTCTCTTGGAAATTTGGCATTGATGTACTGATTTTTTGTTGAGGTAGCTCTACAACCACATCATTTGCACAACCGTCCGAAATTTCATTATCTCCTGGTAATACATGCAGTGGGATATTTTGACATATTTTATATTCTCAACCATTTTATAGTAGTCTAAATGTTTCTGCCATCATATCTGAAGTTTCAAATGGATGCTTATTTGTAGATTTCACAGAAATTTATGTTGCGGATAGTGAGAGTAGCTCCATACGAGCACTCAGTCTAAAAACAGGGGGATCAAGATTACTAGTTGGTGGTGATCCTTTTTTCTCAGACAATCTGTTCAAGGTAACTCAATTTAAAAATTAAGAAGCCTGTTTCATCTTGGAAAAATATTTTGGTCTCTAATAATTTTTTTTTTCACAAAAATTGGAGAAGACTTACAGTTCATATTTAGTTTATGTCATTTTGTCTTTTTCTCCTAATAGTCTTATAATGTATGATTTACAGTTTGGAGACCATGATGGAACAGGATCTGAAGTCCTTCTTCAACATCCACTAGCTGTCTTTTGCGCGAAGGATGGTCAAATTTATTTTGCAGATAGGTGCAATCACAAGGTAATTAGCTAATAGATGAAGATATTAAAGATATTTAAATCACTGTAGCCTGCCTACATTTGTTGAATCTTCTGATGATAAATTTAAAGCTTCATGAATGCTCATGATGCATTACTTGGGGGTTCCTGTTGAGATTTGATCACATAACTGATAAAATGAATGTGAATTATCAAAGCTAACTTCTTGATTTTCATCTCTTTTTTGGGTGAAATTTCAGATCAAGAAGCTGGATCCAGCTAGTAAAGGGGTCAGTACCCTAGCAGGGACTGGGAAAGCTGGTTTCAAGGATGGAACAGCCCTAGCAGCTCAGGTTAGAAAAATAATTTGTGTCCTTCTTATTGAATTCTGCTCATACTGGTGGCTAAGAATTTGGTATATGTTGCTTTGAAGGAATTTTAATTTCAAAAAGAAAAAAGTTTGCTTTTATGTGTTACATGCATCTACCGTGAGAATTAGTTATACTTGTTTTTTGAATCACTATCTAGCAACAAGTTGCAAATGGAAAGGCAATGTCTTGTTACCTGCCATATGGAATTTCAGATGTACTGAAAATGAGTTTCTTTCATTATTTCATAATGCTATTTCTGAGCTATTATGTGTGATTAAATGAAAATGTGAGAATTCATAATCCAAGTACCATCTCATATTTTAAATTTTGTTTCAATCACATCTCTTGAATTATTACAATGAAGCTCTTTCATCCTTTTTAACCTAATGAACACAAATGAAAGTTGAGGATGTTTATATCGCTCTCCAAGTAAACTTTCCCGATTTTATTATGGCCTGAAATTTCACTTTTTATGCATTTACTATTTCTTTGAGCTTTCGGAGCCATCAGAAATCGTCAAAGCAAAGAACGGTGTCTTCTCTGTTTCATTAGCCACAAACAGTTATCAAAATTGACGTGGAAGTTGTCACTGATTGTAACTAGCTGTGCCTTTGCATAAATTATCATAGGTACTTATTAAAAGTGTTTCTTGTTCAATTTTCAGGAAAGCTTCTCATAGCTGATACAAACAATAGTGTCATAAGATACCTAGACTTGAAAAAGAAAGAGCCTGAACTTCTTACTCTAGAGCTAAAAGGAGTTCAACCTCCCGCACCCAAATCCAGATCGCCAAAACGCCTCAGGTGGCGATCATCAGCTGACACTGAGACCATTGTTGTTGATGGTGGTGTCCAATGAAAGCAACCTCAGTATTAAATTTTCTTTGCCTGAGGAGTACCATTTCTCAAAGGTACAGATGGTTTGTGTCACTAAAGGCTTCAACTTTTTTCATTTGTTTTTGACCTTATAATTCTCTGCTTTACGATACAAATGCAGGAAGCACGTAGTAAATTCAGCTTCGATGTTGAACCTGAAAATTCTGTGGCTGTTGATCCCTTATATGGAAATCTTAGTCCAGAAGGATCAACAAGACTTCACTTTAGGAGACTCTCTCCATCAGCTTCAATAGGTATAATTAGTTGCAAGGTATGCCACTTTTCTGTGCTCTATAATTCAAATTGCCCCCACAAGTCAAAAATTGTTTGAATTGAACTGCTTTATGACAAGTAAAACCATGTGATTGTTGTCTAGTTTAATTCCCTAGCCTTCAATACCAACACCAGGGGAATTTTTAGTAACCATAAGAACAACCTGATTCAGGCTTGCTGCCCGGTTGCGACACTGCAGGCTCATGGCTCCTCACTAATGTTCTCAATGTATGTTGTTCACTCACTGGACATATTAAAGGTTTTGATGGACTTCTTGTTTGAATGAGAATAACACCAAAGATCTAGATCTAGGGCCTGAAGTGTAAATGGGTTGATTGAAACATCATTTGCATAGTGTAGTCAATTTAAAGTTAAAAATATCAAACACATGTAACACCAAAATTCTATGTTCTAAGATCAAATTGATATTCGGCTATGCAGACTATAATAGCATTAATATGGCGCGCGAAAGAAGTTTAAATAAATTCACACTAACTTTGCAGCCTATTAACTATTTTGTGGGTGATGATTTGCCATGTTTTACAGGTCTATCACTGTAAAGAAGATGAAGTGTGCCTGTACTAATCCCTTTTGTTTGAAGTACCCTTCCACAATGAAGTTCCAGACTCAACCCCAGCAGAAATTACTCCTGCTTATGCCATTAAGCCGAAAATTTCAACAACTGGTTTACAGCTTCCAGCTGCAGTCTCCTGAATGCAACTCCATATAACCACCTTGTAAGCTTCCTATATAGTTTTTTTTTTTTACTCACACTTGTCATATAAAATTGATTCAAGTTGACAAGCCCCACAAGGGCTTTTAAGAGTAGACCCACCAGCTTCTTTTTAACTCTAATTATTGGTGAATCAAATGAAGAATTTGTCGTAGTTTCTGTGCAAGGCAAAGGCCCCGTCATGAAACTTTTATTAAGTCTTTTACAACCTGTAATGTGATTAATTAATCATGATCATGATCATGAACATGATCATTGTGTTTAGGATAAGCAAAGGGATAGATTGCTCGTCAAGGCAGGCAGACACTCACTCTTGCACACTTGTCTTTAATTGGTTAGATAATGATGGTGTTGCTCAATTATATGAAACTTGTGATGGTTTGTTTATTGATTTTATAATGCCAAATTATCTCCCTATATGCATAGCAGACAAATATATTAATACATACAATCAATCTGCTTTATCTAAATCATGTGATTAAAGTAGTATTTGATTGCTTAAAATGCATTAGTTCCACCAAATCTCTTTGCCTAATTATCTTTCCCAGCAGGAGCCAACATTTCTGCCTACATGTTTATTGCATTTTCACTTTCCTAAGTTGCTCCATGCTCTTGACCTGTTCTTCATCTGTTTTTCACTGGTTAAAAAGGAGTTTCTTAAACTATGAACTATAAAATTTAGACTCATGATTCTGTCATAGGTTCATTCATTGGTTAAAAAGAGGAGACTCTTAAAAGTGTGAACTGTGAATTTAGACTCATAGTTCTGTCGTAGGTTCGTTCATTGTCATTGCGTATGTCGTACTTAAATAGTGCATGTATTATGGGGTCGATACATGTGTCAAGAGTTTGCATCTTCATCTTACTCTTATGAAAGACAGCAAAGTGTGAACTATAAATTCAAACACATTCTACTGTAAATTTGATTCTTTGTTGTTGTGTAAATCCTACATAAATAGTGCATGTATTATAAGGTTGATACACGTATCTTAGAGTTCACATCTCCATCCCACTATGACGAAATATAGTTAATTGTCAATTCTAATGTTACCAATACAAACTTCGTCCTACTCTAACGAAAAGCATTAGGTTGTCAACTTCGCATAGATATACATGGATTGTATTGTGAGGTCGATACATGTCTTTAGAACTGGGCCATGTAATATTGAAGTTTTAATGTTGTGCAATATAATGTAACAAAGACACCCTAAAGGCCCATCTGAAAGCGTGTACATCTAAATTAATAATGTTTAAAAGTTCATAGAGTTCATCAAATTCCTGTTCCCTTATATGACAACATGATGTGCATCAGCCTGTTGTTATTGTTTATCTGACATCTTATGCATGATAAGCTAATACTATAATGCATTTGGAGTTTACCATTTTTGTCTGCTACATGATCTGTTGCGTGGTCAAGTTCCTGAATTATTATGTCACCCGTGTTAGTCTTTTCAGTGAGAAATTGAGGTTTCGGTGATTTAAAGTTACTTTCATGAGTTTTCTTTTAAATTTTCTTTTGTGATGTTTCTATGTAAGTCTAGCTAGTGAAGGACCTAAAAAGCTTTTTGATGTGAAAAACTTTTTGGCAAATATTGTAAATCCTGGAAGCCTTTACCTTCCTATACAAATGCTAGTAGCAAATAATTTTATGCTAAAAAAAATACATATATAATTTTGACAATCCCAATTTTTATTATAATTTATGATGTTGAAAATATCACTTTTTTTTTTTTTTGCACCCTTGAGGTTTTGGTAGTACTGAAAAGTGGTAGCATCTTTTTGTTTGGATGTAGACGAGCTATTTTTAAAGTTGATATAGTTTTCTTTTTGGAAGAGGGCATCTTTGGGGCTGTGTGTTTTAGACTAGTGCATCTTTGAATGATTCATGCATTATTGCAAACTAATGTTGAAATGTAATAAAACAGGAAATACCTAGCCTGTTATATTTTCATGCTTTCTGGTTATCTTCTTGTTGCTTTGTTTTGGATGGAAAATATGCGGTAGAGTCTAGGAGAAAGTCAAATCCTGTGCATATACAAGTAATTTCCATCTGTAATTTATTTGTTGTAAATTGATGTTTGCAAAGCTATGATCCTCCCTCTCATTTGCAGCTGTAGTTCAAACAAATGCTTTGTCTATCCAAGATTCATCAGCATCACTGCAAGTGGATGAAAAGGAAATTTCTGTAGTTGGAATGCAAAATGGAGGAAATCCACAAGCAGAAGCTATCTTTTACCATTTTCAAGTTTTTTGGGAAAAAAAAATATCTTAGAACTAGTTTTAAAATTTTATTAAAGCATATTTTGTTTTATACTTGTGTCCAACTTTGAAACAGAATGATCAAATGACATATGCTTTGCTCTATCCTAATCTTTGTAGAGACTTCAAGCTGATCTACAAACGCTAGGCCTGAAAATCAAGCTGCATGAGGACCACACAAAACTTTTGAAGTCCCAAAGCAACAAGTTAGATGCTGTACTTGAATCACAAGGTATATTTATTCTTTTAATCCAGTACATGAATCAATGTATATCAACTCCATCTTGAAATTTGCAGAAGAAAATGTCAAGGCAAATAGTTCGTATGATAAACCTTGCAATCTAGCAACTAGATCAAATGGGTGGTGCCAGATTCATAAGAATAGATTCGACAATTTCGATAGGGTTTTGGTTGACGTACTATAAGCATTGTATTGTATAACATGTAGCTTTCTATTGTAACTTGCACTTTAGCCACTAGATCAAGCACTTATCACCTGGAATGGTTGTTAGTGATTAAAAAAGATTCTTGAATGGGCACCCTTAAATGTAACTACTATATCATGTAATGTTTTATTAAAAATCTAGATGGTAAACTTACTCACACAGATTATGCATCCAAAAAAGGAAGGCAAAAGGGATTCTGGACTCAGGTGAAATCTGTTTACTTGGAGAAAATCTTTCATCGACTTCAAATTTTGAAGTATTTTGAGGTTTTGACTTGTTTTAGTTTTGTATGACACACTTTGATCTTTGTTTTTGTATTTGTTTTTTTTTTTTTTTTTTTTTTTTTTTTTTTTTCTGATAAGCTTTCTGTCAGTTATTCTTGGCAAGTATCATTCTTCAAGTGGACCTAAGACTGAGAATGAGGACCATTTCAACCTTCAAAGAGAGGAGGAAACAGCAGGGCAGATTCTCGAGCATGAAAAATCTGTTGCAGGCATTTTTTGTAAGCTGAAAACACGTCATGGCTCTCAGACATCACATCTTCAACCAACCAAGGATTTTCTTGGTATTGTTGCTTCACTTGGCAAAGTTGTGGATGAAAATCTTAGCAGGTTGATTGATCATGTATTCTATCTTTTTCATCATTTTTCTCAGGCGATGTTGTCCTTTTTGTATTGGCTTGTTTATGGTTGCTTTTTTTTATTTATAATTAACTGATTTTGTTGTTTCCTATCAATAAGGACCTTTATAAGTTTTGCAATGGCCAATAATTTGTTGTATTACATGATTTTCTACAGACAAATATCTAATCCATTGAATTTGTTGCCAGTAGATTCATCCTTCAAGCTTGCATGCTGTTGTAGTGTTGTTTGCTCCTGAGTGTTGAGTGAGGTTATGTTGTACATTGTTGCAGAGACGGTTAATGGTTAGAATTGATGTTTAATTTCTAGTTTTTGTATTGCTGGAAAATGTGACAAAGCTAAATGTTTTCACTAATACCCCATGCTTGACATTTTTTTCATCTTCTTTGGAGTGCAGGCTTTTCTCTGAGTACTTAGGAATGGACACTATGTTTGCAATTGTTTGCAAGACTTATGAAGGTGTTAAGGCTCTAGAAACATACGATAAAGAGGGCTGCATTATTAAAAGTTCTGGTCTTCATGGGCTTGGTGCTTCAATTGGGAGGACTATACATGACTGGTTTCTTGTCATATGTCTTGAAAACTTAAGGCATCAATTTGACTTCTGCTTTCCTTAATTATATAGACTTGT